TTTTTTTATTGTTATTAAAGCCTCACATATAATATGTTGTCGTTATCCTTGTGCGCGCATAAAATATAATTGAAATGGTGAGATGATAAGAGCGCAACGAAGACACATATACACAAGCTGTCCGTTGTCTTTTCGATGTCCTCGGGCTCGGGCTCGGGTTCGGGTTTGCTTGCTCACTACATCCCTCTCTTCGTCTCACCGTTTCCTTCTATCTCTAACTCGGTGGCGGTGTATTGAGTTTGCGGTCTTCAAGTAGAAAATGTCTGAATGAACGGAGAGAAATTGCTCGCGCCAAGGCAATATAAAGCAGAGCATTTTGCTCCAATTGTGCCCTCCATTAGGTTATATGGTGTCGCGTGTTTCGTGTCGATGCCGAATCGTGCGCGCTTCGAGAGAAAATGTGAGTGGTGGGGGCATGGTATACAGGAAATACTCTCTTTTCTTCTGCCACAGTTCATTTGAAAGATACGTACACACAGCACTCGGCATTGGCACATAGAATTGGCAAGAGCGAACGAGAGAGATAGAGTGCAAAAATTTGGTGTTCACGTTTCATGGTGATGATGGGGCTCACACAGTCGCTATATGCTTCCACTCACCACACCGTGATTCCATAAATAACACAATCCATTGCAAGTTTTCGATTCAATGAGTCTCCTGGAACGGATTTGATCTGAATTAAAGATGGCTTTTTTTAGTGTGCTCTGTGTGAACCACGATGATGACGATGACGACGATATTTGAACCGTCAACACAAATTGTTTGAAATCATAATTTCCGCACTGAAAATGTATATACGCATTTAAAATGTAACTTACTAATAAGAATGTTGTTAACACATTCATGTCGACGAAGGCAGCAAGAGACAGAACGCAAGAAGAGAGCGAGGAGTGAGAGAAAAAGAAGTGTGACGGTTAATAAATATGTCACGTCACGTTTGGCTGTAAAAAAGATCGGTTGGTTTGGCGCCGAATTCTAGTTTATAACAACTTCACCTATAATCCGTTTATTCTTGAATACAAGCCCATTTAGCCGAATATTTGTATGAATTCATAATGGCTCTATCGTTAAATAAACAACGGTGTGCAACATAAATTTCTTGTCATTTGCATCAGTTGCGCACTTTCACCTTCTCTACACGCCCTCCTCTCCTCATTTCAAAAGCCAATGCGTCCCCCGCCACCTGAATCGCATTTAATTGACAGATTTGATCATTTCGTTATTGTAATCCGATTCTATTCCACAGAAAACATGTGAAGTAATTGTATTTGACAACGCCGATTCGTTATAGTAGAAAAATCGTAAACAGCTTTCGCGTTTGCAACAATGGAGCTAAATATTTATAAGATTATGTAATCGTGTGTCCTCAACAAATTTGATTTTAAACAAACACAAAAGCAGCACACGTACCCCATCAAAACTTGAAATTCATATGCTAGATCTATGTAATATGCACATAAAGAGGTATAATCGACTTGAGAAAGCTAAAAAAAAAATGAAGAGGAAAAAACAAAACAAACGATATTCTATGATAACCAACGCATTCTAATATGATTATTTGCCAAGTGAATTGAATCAAATGACTATTACCTAGTTTTCTCTCTCTGTGTCTCTCGCTAGATTTATTACCTCTCATAAATGTTCTTTGCCATGTTGCACATGGATGGTGAGAGCTGAAAATGCGACGAAATCATGTTTGAAAAAAAAACACAATGATATAACACCGTAGTATGCATTCTCTTTCGGTTTCATTTGGCTAAGCAAGCCAAGCGGTTTAGTGGGTAAACGAAAACCAAGAACAAAAAACAAATACCAAACGGTTCAATCCGTTTACACAAAACGGTGCAAAAGATGGAACGTTGCTTCATTCACAATTGCCGTTAATTTAACAATGGGCTGCCAATCAAATAAGCGATGTGTTTTCAATCAAAAAGAGCA